TTTGCTTATGAGAATGTCATGTGGGACTGTGTCAAAAGCTGTACTAAAATCAACATATATCAATCTATTGCTTCTCCCATCTACTAGACCAGTAACCCCGTCAAAGAAGAAAATTATGTTGGTTTGGTATAATTTGTCCTTGACCTTATATTCCTATTCTCCTCTAGGTACTTACATACTTATTGTTTAATAATTTGTTCCAGTATCTGGGCTGACTGGTCTATAATTCCCTGGGTCTTCTTTGTTCCTCCCTTTAAAGCTAGCTACTGTGTTTCCCCTTTTCTAGTCTTCTGGAACCTCACCCATCTTCTGTGAGTTCTCGAAGATAATAGCTAATAGTTCGGAGGTTGTTTCAGCTAGTTATTTAACTACCTGAGGATGAATTTCATCAGGCCTTTCTGACTTCAGTACATCTAACTTACCTAAATGTTCTTTAACCTGTTCTCCCCTATTTTGACTTACGTTCCTTCCCCCTTATTGTTAATATTGTGTTGAGTGTGTGGTCACCATTAATCTTTTTAATGAAGACTGAAGCAAAATAGGCATTAAACACCTCACTCAACCTTCTTGGTGTTATCTGTTACTAGCTCTCCGCTGTTAAGTAGACGTACCTATACTTTCCTTCATCTCTCTCTTGCTTCTAATGTATTTAAAGAACCTCTTCGTATTGCCTTGTATGTCCCTTACCAGGTGTAACTCATTTGGTGCCTTAGCTTTTCTGATTTTTGTCTCTACGTGGTTGTGCTGTTCTCTTGTACTACTCCTTAGCAATGTGTCCATGTTTCCCTGATGTCATAGCAAAGAACTACAAAGAAAGAGTTGAGGGACAAAGCTACCACTTGCACCAAATCCTGCAGTCAGGCCAAAGCGTGCACAAGGCAGCTGTGGGGTGTGAAGGCAAAAGAGTATCTCATCACCTCTTCACTCAGCCTAATCCTGGGGATGCTGTGTGCATGGCCAGGCCCTGGGCATAATGCACAGCAGCCTGTGGATGGCTATAATTTAACAGCTGCTGTCCAGCACTAAAGCCCCAGCTGGGGATTGGTGCAGCATGGCCTGCCCTGGCCCACACCCCTTTCCCTCTTGAAACTTCCTCCCGGATGGCAGTGTGATGGGGAGTGGCAAAAGAGCCCCTGGAGAATCCCCCTCCAATGCCTGGTTTATCCAACTCAATGGCAGATTCCTCATGTGATGTAAGGTGCTGCTCTGCATCTGAGAGTCTCCTCCCAGATTCTTAAAAATCAACTAACCAGAATTAAAGTTAAATTTTAAATAAAATATATTTATGAGTTAAAGCTTGACTGAACAGAAGAGTTTGTCTTCAAAATAGAGGCATGCCTAGATTTTCAGTAGGCGTGTTTTGATCCTACTACAGTTCATCTCAGACAATCAGTCATTTCACTATCTAGTATTAATAACTAAAGTACTTGTCTGAAGTCTGCCTATAAAACAAGTCTGTTTTAATATTAAGTAAAAGGAGCATCATGTCCAGATGAATAAAGCCTTTTTACAGTATAATTGGCAATTGCTAAAAGAGCACGCTCATTCAGATCTGTTACATCAGTCATGTGCACGAGGTCAGGAGGAAACTCTATACTGTATATCCCATCTTCTGATTTGGTGGAGAGCAGCTTTATATTTGAAATTCTTGCATCCCACTAGTGTTAAATCAAAGGAGTGGTGGAAGGAGGGTTGGGAGTGTTTATTTTGTGTCGGTATGTACTGCTGAGAGAGGCAACTCTCAGAACAGCTAATTAAGTGATTCGGTCTTGTGCTGCAAGCTGTCAGGACAGTCATTTTAATCTTGCAGACATATGTTGTCTCTCCACAGAGAGCATAATTGAGGAATAGATTCTTTACGGGGTTGCATTTTTCAGGGATGTTGTTTGGGGTTGTCTTTGTTTTGTTTTTTGTTTATTTTTGGAAAATTGCAGATATTCTGTGTTGATGGAGAAATTATTTTCAGCCGCAGAGGCATTTGTTTTACATAGATAATAAGTGTAATTAATATTCCTGAAGATCATCTGGTAAATCACTTTATTTCTCTACTAACTTGTACAATTTTTTATATTTTATTTCAACACACTACAAGAATAGTAAAGTTAGACTTTTTTGGTGGATTTTGCTTGTATCCATTTTAATTCAGTGAAAGCAAAAGTAATTTACTGCTTTTGTCTAAACATATGACACCTTCTAGACTACTGCAAATATCTAATTTTAAAATCACAGCCTGCCTGTGATAATGTGTTCACTTTTCAAAAGATATTGTGGTCAAGTTAATCTGATTGGCTGAAATCCTGGTCCCAATGAAGTTAATGGGAGTTTTGCCATTGACTTCAGTAGCGCTGGAAATTCATTTTTGTGAACATATACACCATTTTGATCGTGCATTAGTATGTAAGACTTGACTTAAACACATCTCTGTACATTTCTCAGGAAAGCATTGTTTCCACTGTATCTCATTTCAGTGATCTTAGAGCAGCTTGTTTGACCTCTAGTGTTGAACTATGAAATTGCATCCCACTGACAAAACATTTTACATTTCAGAAAAACCAGTCTCCCCCAAATCAGGAACACTGAAGAGTCCTCCCAAAGGTTTTGATACGTCTGCAATTAGCAAAAGCTATTACAATGTGGTGAGTGATCCCTTTCCTTATTCTGAATTATATATAATAGAACCTCAATAATTTGCTCACTTTAGAATCTGTATAAAAAGTGCCACCTCTTAGCCAAAATTAAAAAGCCAAGGTTGAAGTGAATTTTCACATTACCAAGGCCTTCATTATTTTTACAAAATATACTATTGTACATTTATGAATATGCTGTAAAGTGTGATCATAAATAAGTTGAACTAAACAGTGTCAGAGTAAGTGAAGAAAGTTTATTTCTGGAGGGCATTTTATCCTTTTTTTATTCACTTGTTAATTTGCAAAAATCAGCTATTTGCAGTAAATCTCTTCCAGTCATTTTAAATTAACAAGGTTATACTTTGGTTTAAGACAAAGGACAATTAAAGAGGTTAAACATTTCGGCAGAGAAGTTTCTTGTCCTCCCTGTCTACTTTGCTGGGCTCTTTAATCAACCTACGTAACTGAGTAATGAGCTGCTGGGACCTCTCCTTTATACCGTGTATCTGAACTTTCAGAAACAGGAAATGTGGAGACAGAGATGGTTAACCTTTCAGATACTTTATATATTTTCTTAGCATATTACTGACATTTCTTTAGTAGATACAAGGTATAGTATTATAAAACTCTTGGTATTTTTTTTAATGAATACAATACGTTTCATCCCTTATTTATAAAATATGGGTACTTATGCAAGTTCTGTTTACAATTAACACATTTATCATTTTTGTTAACTATTGCTCTTTGCTGATGTCAAAACATCAAGTCTTTTTCTTTTGCTTTGATTCAGCTGTTATTTTTTT